ACAAGACGCGATAAGTCGAACCCAGAAGTTCGATTGCCAGCCGCCGAACTAGCGGCTGGGGATAGACGTACCCTTACATACACACTCTGCCCATCTCGCACTAGGGTGACCAGATAGCAAGTGTGAAAAATCGGGACAAAGGGTGGGGAGTAATAGGGGCCCATATAAGACAAAGCCCCTATAAAATTGGGACATCTGGTCACCCTATCTCTCTCTCTCTCTCTCTCACACACACACATTCCCTGCCTGTCACACACACACTGTTGGAACAATTGGGGCCTAGCAATTATTGTGAGCCTAACTATGAAAAAGTAAACAAAAGTTTACAAACATGTTACAATAACCTCTAACAATATATGATGGTGGGAAAAGGTGCAAAAGGGAGACAGAAAGCCTGAATTAATCTAAACAAAAAGGCCTACTGATATATTTCAAAACTGTGCTACAGTCATGCCTGGGACCAAAAGTCAATGAACCAAAATCGGTGTGTCAGATTTGGGCCTATTGGTGGACAAAATAATGAGGGGATGGGCTATTCCACCCCTCACTCCCCTTTTGGGGTCTGTGACAGGGTGTGCATACCCCGCACTAGGCAAGAAAGGGTTAACCCCACACTGTGGGCGGAGGAAGTCCCACCCCTCAGACCATTCTGGGCATGCTTCAACTGCTGCTTTAGTATAAAAGGGAGCAGCCCAGTTCATTCTAGGTTGACCATTGAGTGGGAAGGATGTTTGGTGGAGGCACCAGTCCAGAAGCTGCTTCAGCACCTGACTCCGGGATCCCCAGGACCAGACCAGAGACCTGTTGTTGACGGTGGGCTGACTGGAGTCAGAATCCCAGGGAGTGACCTGTGCAAGGAGCCTGGAGACCCTGATGACGTACAGATCCCAGTTTCAGGAGACACAGTAGGAAGTGGCCCTGGGGGGGCGAAGTGATTGGTATCTCCCACCTGAGGAAGGTCAGCGTGTTGCAGTAGGATCCCTGCTGACTGGGTGATGACCACACTCACTGCTGAGAGGGCCCTGGGCTGGGACCTGGTGGAGCAGGGAGAGCCTGGGCCCCCTACCCCAGCTGTCAACCTCCCCTTCCCCGAGTGGCCCCTGACTCCGCCCATTAGGTTGCCTTGCACCCGAGGGCAGCTGTATTGACTCTAACCTGTGTGCTGTGCTGTCTTAAGCACAAGGACAGTCTGTCACAGTGCCCCCTCACCCAAGATCCACCCCAAAAGGGGGATGGGGTGTGCAGACACTGGATTGAGGTCCTTAAAAAAAAAAAAAAGGAGAGACTTTAGGAGGAAAAGTGGCAAAGGGGGATGCAGGCAGACTGAAAGAGAGGATCAGGAAGGAACAAGATTTATCATCATGACTGCCCAACCACATTGTCTCCTGGATGACCAGGATCCACCATGACACTGTTGGGTCTTTGTCATCCTGATCCTAAGAGATTTTTCTGACCAGACTCAGTCAAAAAAAGGGACCCAGATGACATCACCACCTCCCCTGGCTCTGACTGAATCCCAAACACCTCCTGGGATGTAAGACTTTGTCCCTCCACCCTTATGTGGTGTTTTCCTTCCCCATTTTATTTCTCTTTCCTATCCCTCTTCTTTTGCCTTCTATTTAATAATCGTCTGGCTTAGCCAGCCAAGGCTGTATATTTTGCAATACAGCTGTAAACCTCAGACCAAAAAGGCAACTAAAAGCAATCCCCTAAACAGCCTGATACTGGTACAAGTTTGCCAAGTCTTAGTGTGACTGATCAGATGGAAAAACACGTGTTGCCCGTCACACCCAACAGTGAAACTGCAAGTAAAAGTCAACAATGACACAGACAGAAACTGCATGTTCTCTCTCTGCTATTCTTTTCTGTCCCCTGAGGTGTGCACATCTTGCTTTGCCTTTTAAATAACAAAAATCAAACTTCACTAATAACAGCTCTGGCCCATTTCTCTTAACTTTTTAACAGTTATTACTATCTTTAATATCATCTAAATGTTTGTCAAATGATGGCGTGGGGGGGGGGGGAAGAGGGAGCACTCCTTTTAGAAACTCCCTCCAGCTTTTTTTAAAAAAAGAGAAAATTTGTTAAAACAAAAGCCTTATTTGGTACGTTACATGTCAAACATTAACTGTTGTCCCTTCCTTTTTTGTATCTTTATTAAAGGATTAAAAGACTCTTTAATGGGGTGTTTGCCAGGGTACTAAGTACTATTACTAACAAACCCTGAACCTTGTTTAGTATTGGACACCTGTGACTCTAAGTCCATATATTTCAATAAATTAATGTAACACACATATACACTCTCTGCCTGGCACACACATGTTCTCTCCTGTCATATGTGATGCACGCACACACATGCTCTCTGCCCATCACACAAACACACACAAGTTGCCTGGCACACACACATGTACTCTCTCTATCACATGCGCACACATATATCCTCTCTGCACATCACACATGCACACCAACACTCTCTGCCCACGACACACACACACTCGGTCCCTCCCTGTTACATGTGTGCATACACTCATACTTTCTGCCCGTCACACAAACACACATTCTGCCCATCAGACCCACACACGCACTCTCTCCCTGTCACAGGAGTACATGCTCTCTGCCTGTCACACACACACACATGCTCTCTCCCTGTCACAGGCGCCTGGTCTCTTTCACAGGTGGGGGCTCTCCCATCTCTTCTACTGCCCCTCTGCCACCAGGAATATTTTGGGGCCCCCATTTCCCCCTCCCCCACCCCCTAAGAATACGATTTGCTTCATTTCCACAAACAAAACCAAAAACCAGATCTCCCAACCGGCTCCCACGGAGCCCCTCGGGAAGGAGTCTGCTGCTGCCTGCAGCCAGCGCTGCTCACACCCTCCCCCGTCACTCTGCCTCTGGTGCCTGCGTGCGCTCGCCTGTCCCGTCCGCACTCACCCAACCGGGCCGGGCTCCCCGCGGGTCCCGGGCTCTCCGCTTCCCTCCCTGAGCTGTGCCTCGGTGCGTCCCGGGGCGGGGGGCAGGAAGCAGAGGTCGCTTCCAGCTCCCAGACAAAGGCAGAGCCAGATCCGCTGGCTGGGAGCGGCTGGGAGCCCCATCCAGGCTGGGAATACGGGGCCCGTGGTTACCTGGGCTGGGGGTTCACGCTGGGAACCCGGGCGGCTGCTCCCTGGTGGGGATCGGTCTGTCCCTCTCTTTCTCCGGGCTACGCTCTAGCTCAGCCAGAAGTTATTGGACCGGATGCCGGGGGTGGAGGGAGGAGACTTTTTCCCATCATGCAACTTGCAGGGTGCTGCTGCGCCTCCCCCACTCGCTCGCTCACCCCCAGCTTGCTCTCGGGTCCTGCTGCCCAGAGACGTCCCTTGCCCAGCACCGAGATGAGGCCGCTTCTGGGGTGGGGTCAGCATGGAGGCTGTTTATACAGGGAGCCCTCTCTGCAGAGGGTGCTGAGATGCAGCTGATGCCAGTGGCTCTTAATACAGGTTCTTTCAGCCCATCCTAAGATAAAGGTACCTCTGGGGTGGGGTGCCGGGGCTGCTTATACGGGGATCCTTCAGCCAAAGCTGAGATGCTGCTAACTCTGGGGTGGGGAACGGGGTCTGTTTATCCAGGGATCCCTTGCCCAGTTTTGTGAGGCAGCTGATTCTGGGGTGCTGGGGGTCCTTTATCCAGGGATCCCTTGCCAGGCATTGAGATGCAGCTGATTCTGGGGTGGGGCACTAGGGATGTTTATACAAGGCCCCTCATCCCAATATGAGATGCAGCTGCCTCCAGGGTGGGCTGCAGGGGCTGTTTATACAGGGATCCTTTGTCCAGTGTTGAGTTACAGCCATCTCTGGAGTGGGGCATGCCAGCGGTTTATACTTTGCATGGTGCAGAGATGCAGCTGATTCTGGGGTGGGGTGTGGAGGCTGTTTAAGCAGAGATCCTTCAGCCTGGTGCTAAGATGCAGCCACTCTGGGATGCTGGGGGCAGGCCTGGGGGCAGCCCAGTGCACCGTTGCACTGACTCCAGCACTTGTGTTTGTATTGGCAGTATATGACCGGGAGACATCTCCAGTCATCCCCCAGGGTGAATAGCCAGCTCTAAACTGGCAGATGACTCATAACCAGGTCTCCCTGGGGACTAAGGGCTGGAGTGGTGCCAACTGCTCCCAGCCACTGTGATTAGGAATAAAACCAACCCTACAATTAATAGCAGCTGGACAGTGCTGCGACTGAGCCATCCCAGCCTCAGGGACTAGCACAAACTAGGCTGGGGGGTGTCAGGGCCCCATGAGTTCAGGGGCTGCCTCTGACACCCCGCCCCTCCCCAACTGGCTGATCGCAGACCCAGGGCAGCACCGGGTGCCCAGTTCAGATCCCTGGCTCCCCAGCACCATGGTTCAGTGGCTGTCGCTGGCTCTGTGGAGCTCTTCTTACATTGATGGGGTCTCTCCATCGTCATGGGGGGGGGCTACTGGGGGCTAAGTGATCTGCCCTCATGCCCCCTCCTCCACGCAGACATTGATAGGGTTTCTGCCCCCACAGGCTGGCTCTGCCCTACAGCCAGCACATTAGCGGGGTCTCTCCCCAGCGCAGGGGGCTGTTACAATTGTATGATAGGATGCTCATATAGGGTAATGTTTAGGAATGCAGAGAACTCCACGGTCAGTAATTGCTTGATGAGAGAGGACTGGAGATGTGGTGGAAGGAATAAAACCAGACTGTCGCGCTACCTTAGCTCTTTCTCTTATGCTAGAAAACTGAGCATGGTGTCAGGAGGTACCTGAGATTCAAAACTAAGAATATTGCAGAAAAACAAAACTCAAAGAGGAAATAATAATTAGACTTGTCGGGACTGAATTTTCTTTTTTCTAATTTCACTGGATAATATCTGTGCTTATTTTAAAGTTTTTTTTTTTTTTAGATTTTTGTCAATTTCAGTTTCCATATTTGCACAAATGTGTGGGTTTTAAATATTTTTTTTTCTATTTTTATCGATTTACATTTTCGCAATTTCCTGAAATTGCATGGGTGGGTCAGACAATACTTATTTAATGACAGATGTTGAAATTCAAAAAATTAAAGTTTTATAACCATTAAAACACAAATTGGCAGTGCCACATGTCAAAATATACAATGTAAATATTCTTAAATTGAATTCTAAGTAGTTCTCCAGCAGCATTGGTTTTATTTTGCCTATCTGTAAATTTCAGTTGTAACTGGTGGCAATCATTTTTCATCTGTTTGTGTGTGTTGGGAGAAATTGACGTTTACTGACATTTACCGATAAAACTTTCATCCTCCCAAGCCTAACAAAAATCCTGGTGACCTGCCAAATCCCTGTCCCTGAACAAGCAGACACAAAAGGAGATGTGTTCAGCCACTGGACATTCTTTAGATCACAATGGGAAAACTACAAAATTACAAAGGGGCTGGATAAAAAGGAAAACAAAATAAAAAGCAGCCACACAGTTAGCTGTAATGATCAAGGGCTGCCACATGCTCCAACAGCATCCGGATTATGTCAGCAGCAGACCAGGTTGACCCACGTAAAATCCTACACGCACTCCAAAAGAACTTTTAACCTACAAGAACAATGTCACACACCAAAGATATCTTTTCCACAAGGGTAATCCAGATTTCAATGTCAAAAGAACTACATTCAGGCTGAGTTAAGCTAGCTTGGTTGTATGCCCTTTCAGAATGCTGAGTTGAGCAAAATTCAGACTTCTGAAAACCAGGAAATGAAGAGTTAAGGTTGCCAGTATAACCTTAATTCTGCCCTTTTTCAGTTGGGCAACTTTGTTTTTTCCTTTTTGTCCTTTAATAGTGCCAGATGGAATCCTGTGAATGAGTGGTAAAAGGAGCTTTTACATTTCAGCAATTGTGGGGTTGGCCAAGTAAAAAGGTATACCTGTAACATGGTATATTGGGGCATTGCTAAAAGAGGGCAGAGCTGGTTAGACTGTCTGCTGATTATTCTACTGTGTTCACAGTAACCCTCCCCATAAAATAAAAATTCTAACAGAGACAACTTGAGTTGTTAAATCTTTATTGCACAGGTGTACAAAGGTTGGGACTACAATAATTAGTGGCAGGTGTTCACCAGGGCATGGCATCAGCACAAATTGCATTTCCTGGTTTTCAGAAGTTTGAAACGATGTTAACGCAGAGTGATGGTTGCTTGGTGGTATATCGGACCAATGCATTTCTGTCATTGAATTTCCTACTTTTTTGAACAGGAGAAGATATTCTTTTGGTAGGAGTTAGTAGTCATTTAGGCAGTTGTACATATCATGTCCTGCAATTGGCATACCCAGCCAGCCAGCCCCTCACTACACATCATCTGGGCCCCTCACTAGCACTTCTTTGGCACACCTCCCCAGCTATGCCCCTGTCCCACAGTTTTCCCCACTCCAGCCTAGCTTCCTCCACACTACTGTTTCCAGGCTCCCCTCCCCGCCCACCCCACAGCAAGGAGGGAATGCATCTCTCTGGACTCCTCACTCCCTGATATACAACGTTTCTATTGCCATTACTTATCCCCTCTGATAACCCAACTCACATGCAGTGCCTGGAATGAAGGACAGCTCTGTTACAGTGCAGTGGTGTTCCTGGTTGTGCTTCAGAATGGTTGAAGGGTGGAGTTTGTAGCCGGGCCGGTGGGAGAAATCACAGACAGGGTTTCTGTTCCAAAATATTGACAGTTTTATGGTTGAGAGAAAGATCCTCTGTCCCCTGCCCAATAGATGGACTCCATTTCTGAGAAACACTGCTGGGTCAGAGCTCATAATGTTTCTGTGACAAACCCTACACCTTGTCCAGTCAGCCACGAATAGGGTTACCATACGTCCGGTTTTTCCTGGACATGACACCCTTTTTGGTAATCAAACCCCCGTCCGGGGGGAATTGCCAAAAAGCCGAACATGTCCGGGAAAAATACCGCCGGCCGGGCACTTCCCCTCCCGCGGCTGCTGTGCTCCTCCTCTGACTCTTCGGCTCTGTTTAAAGCCGAGCTGCCCGAGCGCTACCAGCTTCGGGCAGCCCCAATGCCTCCGGACCCTGAGCCGCCGGCCGGGCACTTCCTCTCCCGGGCTCCGGGGGCACAGGGTCCAGAGGCATGGGGGCTGCCCAAAGCCGGTAGCGTTTGGGCAGCTCGGTGCTTACAGAGCCCAGGAATTCAGGGAGCACAGCAGCCGCCGGAGGCCCGGGAGGGGAAGTGCCCGGCCGGGGGCGCAGGGTCCGGAGGCAAGGGGGCTGCCCGAAGCCCGAGTGCTACCGGCTTCATGGTTTGCCGGGCAGCCTCCAGACCCTGCGCCCCCGGCTGGGCGCTTCCCCTCCCGGGCTCCAGCTGCGCTGGGGAAGCGCCGGCCGGGGGCGCAGGGTCTGGGGGCTGCCCAGCAAACCGTGAAGCCGGTAGCGCTCGGGCAGCCCTTTTCGCGTGCCTGGGAGGGAGGAGGGGGAATGCGGGGCGCTCAGGGGAGGGGGCGGAGTTAGGGCGGGGACTTTGGGGAAGGGGCGGAGTTGGGGCGGGACCAGGGGTGGGAAAGGGGCGGGGCCAGGGCCCTGTGGAGTGTCCTCTTTTTTTATTTTTTAAATATGGTAACCCTAGCCATGAACCCTCTCATTTCCCGATTAATGTTCTTCCAACACTTAGTAATGGTTGCCATATTGTCATTGTTGGAATTATGCAGACAATCAGGGCTTGTCTACATGAACAGTGCTGCAGGGGCCCAGCTGCGCTGGTGCAGCTGCGCGGCTGTAGCGCTTCGTGAGGATGCTACCTATGCCAACGGGAGAGTTTCTCCTATCAGCGTAGGTTCTCCGCGTTCCCGAGAGGCATTGGCTATGTCAACAGGAGAAACGCTTTCTACACTGGGGGGTTAGGTTTCCACACTGCTGAGCCATGTAGTTATACCAACATATATTGGTAGTGTAGACAAAGCTTTAGCCAAACTATCAGAGGTCCTGGACGCAAATCTCTGATGCAGACCCAATCTGCTTTCATCCATTGAATGAGGATAAGGCCCAGATCATTTCTGCCTGAGTGAATCAGCACAATGTCTGGTCGATCACAATCTTTGAAGTCATTAGTTCGGCTTTGTCTACACTACAAAGTTTTGTCGGC